TGCCAGGGTCCCCTCCATTGATGGTGCCCAGGAGCCCACTGGGGACTGCTCCCTAACTGCCACTGGTTTCCTCTCTGGAGAGGGCGCCCAAGAGCCCAACTGCTCCCTAACCACCGCAGCTTTCCTCTCTGACAAGGGCACCCAGGGACCCAATGGGGACTGCTTCCTAGCTGCCACTGGTTTCCTCTCTGGCAAGGGTGCAGAACAGGGACTGAAGGGCCCTGTGCCCTCTGCTGACATAGATGCCTGGGGAGCCGAGAGCCAGGAGGGCAGGCCGACTGCAGCTTGTCTCTGGGGGGGCTCCTTGCAGTTGGCCATGATCATCATCTTGGCAAGCGTGAGGCCTTCTACCGAGAAGGGCCTGCTCTGCTCCTCTGGACCTCCCTCGATGGCCAGCTCCTGGGTCTTGAGCCACCTCTGCTGCTCTCCCCTCTCCTTGGATTTGAAGCCAGGCATGTCCAGGGATATCTTCTCCTTCTTTCTATGGACCTTGTCCTCCAGCAAGCCCCAGCCCTTCAGACCATCCAGGGTGATCTCCCGGGCTTTGCTGATCACGACTTCCTCTGACTGCTTCTTCGTGGTGGTGAAAGGCAGCTCCATGGATGTCTTCTGGGTCCTTGTCTCCAGTACGTCCATCTCCTGGGTGCCCACGAACAACATGGGCTGGGGTGCCCCTTCCTGCTTCCTTCTCTCAGCCGCATCCCTTCTAGGACCTATCTCGGGCCCCAGGCCAAAATCAGCCCTCTCCGGGGTCATCTTGTACCGACTAGGTGAGGTCACAGCCTTCTGGGATGGGGTAGGGATGAACAAAGATTTCTTCCTTTGGAGAGTGGGGGACACAGCCTTTGGGGGAAGAGCCAGGGTGGGTGGGGACTTCTGAGACAGGGAAGGTACGGCTGGAGGCTTCTGAGGAGTAGCCAACATGGGTGGGGGCTTCCGAGATGGGGCAGGTATGGCTTGGGCCTTCCGAGAAACAGCCGAGGCAGCTGGGGGCTTCCGGGATGCACCGTGAGCTGGTGGGGCCTTCGGGGAGGTGGTCGCTACAGGTGTCGCCTTCCGAGACGGGCCCCGTGCTGCTGGGACCTTCTGAGGGGCACCAGGCGCAGTGGGGACCTTCTGAGGGGCACCAGGCACAGTGGGGACCCTCCGGGATGGGCCAGGGGCAGCCGAGGTCTTCTGGGATGGGGCGCGCACTGCCGAGACCTTCTTGGACTGG